GTTGCAATTTTATATATATATATATATATTACAATTTTTAGTATTGTTTACTGATAACTGTACTACCAAGCCTCACAATAATGTGAAATTTGTCATTGTTCCTATGAGTTTGCCACTAACTCCGTTTCCAAATTCTCTGCCTATACAAAGTCATTCAATGTAATCATGTTACTTCTTAAAGAAAGCAATGCTAATAAAATATCTTAAAACGAAAGAAAGAAAACGAAAAAAGAAAAAAATGGCATAGGTGACTGTACTTTAAACGCTGTAAACTACTATACAATGTTATATACAATCTGAATAAGAAAAAAAAATAAAGGTAAAAGAAAAAAAGTGTCTTTCACAGAGATTCTAGAGGTTGGTGATTTTTTTTTAAAAGTAGATTGTCTTAAAAACAATCTCTTTCGTAACTGAGCTTGCTATTTGATGTCATCATTATGAAATATTGCTTGCCTCTTGCCATTCATCTATTCCTGGGTTTGCCCAAAATGGGCTGTGTAGAATCTTGCACATTTATTTTCAGTTTCTGCTCTGTCACATATAAATGAAACCTAGCTCAGAAGTTATATGCCTGCAGAAACACAGCATATTTAGGTTTTAAAAAGGAACAGTGATGTATCAGTTCACTTCTGTTCAAGATAAATAAAAGGAGGGTGATTTATGTGTCTTTTTCACTTTTAATTATTGGACAATGGAAGGAATGGAGCCCTTGGAATATACCAATATATTTTGATCTAAAATTTCTAATGAGTTGGATCTGTTTGCCAACATAATCTGCTGTGAACCATACACACTTATATAACAGATCTTCCCCATGGGGTTTTCTTAAATTAATTATATAATTCTGAAAAGAAAATGATGCTAAAACTTTAACTTCACAAAAGAAGAAAAGCACCCTAAGGCCATATTAAAACTGTTCATACTTTATTTTTCTCTTAGGTTTGCTCAGTTCTTATTTACTGAAGAATTCAAAGCTGGTTCGCGGGTCCTTGAAAGCATATACAGCTTGTACGAAGGTTTCTCCGGGACTGTTTGCTTTCTAATTGATCTGCTGCAGCCCAATCAGGCTGAATTCCCTCTCTTCAGTGTCTTTGTTTAAAAGGCTCCATCACCCATTGTAACCCTGCAGAGGTCCCCTGAGATTTCCTGAGCCTCCTCTAGGCAGTTTCTCCATAAGCCACATCCAATGGTATCACAACCATGAGCCTTAACATCACCGCCAGAAGGATGAGAGCATGCTGATGAAGACAGCATAATACCGAACTGGAGAGAGAAGCTGCAAAACGAAGGTGCCCCAACTCACCAAAAATGTTTTAGGGGAGAGATCTAAAACTGGCGATTAGAGAAGAAAAGGAAAGAAAAACGATCATTTTTTTTCAGTTCATGAACTAGAAGACAAAACTGAACTGGGAGCGCTGGAGATAAAATGCTAATACTTTCAAAGTTGGAGAGCCAGTTTGACCAGCTGTGTGTGCCGTCCACCTCTAAATTCAGAAATTAAGACAATCAGAAACTAATTCTGCCCTGCTAAAAACTGTCAGCAAAGATCAAGTATCAAGATGAAGGGCATGAAGGAGACCCTTGTTTATCCTAGACCTTTACTTATTGAAATTCACAATTTTTACTAAATGGAGATATTTGCATATGTATCATTTTTTTCATTTGCTATCCTGGGCGCTTTAGAAACATCATAACTTATTTTAAACATTGAATTTTGAAGCTGCCTTAGGCCTTAGAATATCTCTTTTCCCGGTTCCTTTTCCTTTCCTAGAGCTCAATTAGAATTCAGGGCAAGAAGGGGTGTAGCTTAGTGGCAGGGCCTAAGCTTAGTGGCTTAGGAGTGTAGCTTGTCTAGCATGTACGAGGCCCTAGGTTTCATCCCTAGCACCAAAATCAAAAGTAAAAAAAAAAAAAAAGGAAAGCTATAGCTAGCAAATACTGCTGTGTTACTGTCACGCGTTGTCTTTGAAGTGTGACCTATGTATTGTCTGTGTTAGCGTTCAAACACCCTTACCTTTGTCATCTCTATGAGGCTATTAGATTGTAAAATATGCTCTTGGTGAAAATTTCTCATCTCAAAAATCAGGGTGACTATCATAAAAGACAAGTCATTTCTACGTTTGGTGGAACTGTGTCGCTTGGGAGAAAGAGGCACAGGCTGAGGAAAATATAAGTGGCTATGGAAAGAATTTTGCTCAGTTTTATACTCTTAGATTAAGAGTACAGTGAACTCCCTGGCTTGTCACCACATCTTCCAAATCATAAAATATGCTAGATATTGGCTATCATACCAATTGAGTCCAGTTATATCAAACTTACTTACGCTATAAACACAAGTTATGAAAATGCTTCAAGTAGATAACGGATTACAGAATGCTATAGAAGCAACTGTCACTTCAATATATAAACGTGAGTTTATGTCAGTCTTGTAACCACTGTCAATTTCAGTAATCACATTAAGTCTGAAATTGCACTGTGTAAGACTTAATTATCTCAATAGTCACTAGATATTTGGATATGTATGTGCATATACGTACATTTGAATATGTTACACCTTTTCCCCATAAATCAAAACACTAGTCAAATTAGTTCTTAATTTGAATTGTAGATAGATTTTGGGAAGAGGAGTTAGGTAATACTCTGCTGCCTAGAAACATTTCTGTGTGTGTGTACGCTGGTGTGTGCAGATTTATGCACCATTGGGTTAGTGAAGGTTTGTGTGCATGTTGTGTGTGTGAAGCTATTTTGGAAAAGATGACCTCTTGTACCCATAGGATTTTAAAAGAATCTTACCAAAGAAAATTAGAATTGTCTTTGTACATTTTATGATTCTTTGTATGTTGGCACTCATCAATACACACAAGGACAGAATAATTTTGCAAAGCATACACCATTTTGGGTTATTGTTCCATTTTGCACATCTTCAGATTTCAGTATAAATAAAATTGGCTTCAATTGTCATCTGGGAAAATGTTGTTTGGAACAAAACTACATAGTTCTTGTAGATAACTCCTGAAATTGAGTTCTAAAAGTTCCTTTTGAGGAGGTGAGAGCCTTTTAGAAAGCTGTAAGTCAAGATACTGTCTACAAAGTGGTCTCTTTTTAAAATGACAGTGATGCAAGCTTTTCACCATCTCATTACAATTCATTTCACATGGGCCCTAGGGACTAAAGATAATACCCAGCCAAAAGTAGGGCTTTTAAATGAAAATAATACATGCTTTTGTCATGCCTCAGAAACCCCTCAATGTGTGTTACATTATTACCTAAAGACGAAGGGCTAGGAACGAACAGAAGAAGGATTCAAACTCAGCGTTTCCCCTTCCAAGTTTATTTATTCAGTATTCTAGACTAGAATCTGGGGTACCACAGTAAACAAATTATCCTTTCCCTTAAAGGTACCTCGTTTTCTGTTTGCTGACCTCTTCAATCATTCATGATACAGACCAATAACCAAAACAACTAAGAAGTCCAGCTTATTGTATCTGTTCCTTTTCTTGGAACTTTAGAAAACTGTGTTTCATTTCTGTGTACTGACCATTATGAAAAGGTCACTCTTTGTGTATCAAATTAAAAACGTGTCTTTCTGAAACAGCACCTCAGCAAACTAGAAACAAGGGTGAGCTTTTTTATAGCCCTTAACCACGTTGGTGAAACATTTCTTTAATATTGCAGATTTAAGAAGTTCCTCTTGTACCTTGTTTTCCCAAGGAGGAAAGACCCTTGAATTTTACAATAAAGAAGTAAGTCATGTCACTTCTTCTTTAATTATCTGCCTCCTATGTGGTAATTTTCCTTTTTTAAAGTATTTTACTCATAATTTTAATTTTATGTATATCAGTCTATTGTCTGCATGTATGTAAGTGCACCCACATCGTGCAGTGCCCACAGAGGTCAGAAGAGGGTGTCAGATCCCCTAGAATTGGAGTTACAGATGTCTGTTCGTCACCATGTTTGTGTGCTGGGATCTGAACCCAGGTCCTCTGTAAGAGCAGTCAGTGTACTTCACCACTGAGCCATCTCTCAAGCCCAATGTAGTAATTTTCTTTATGTTAAAGCATGTTTCTTCTTGAAGGCTACTGTGGCATTTTTAGAAAATATTTATTTTAGGCCTGGAGAGATTGCTCAGTGGTTAAGACAACACTTGCTGCTCTCTCAGAGGACCCAGGTTTGGTTACCAGCACCCATATGGTGCCTCACAACCAGCTGTAACTCAAGTTCCAGGGAATCTGATGCCCTCTTCTGATCTCTGCAGGTTCCTTTACTCACATGGTGCACATACATACACTCAGACACACACACACACACACACAGATTAAATGAATAAATAAATGTTTTATAAAAGATTGTCTTTTTTGACCTGAAACTCACTATGTTGGCTAGACTGGCCTTGAACTCACAGAGATCTGCCTGCCTCTTCCTCCTGCGTGCTAGGATTAAAGACAGGTTACACCACACCCAGCTTTATTTTATTATTTTTAATTTTGTGTGTGTGTGTGTGTGTGTGTGTGTGCGTGTGTGTATGTGTGGGTGTGTGGGTGTGTGGGTGAAACATGAGTGCCAATGCCTGCAGAAGTCATAGTTACCAGATTCCCTGGAGCTGGAGTTGCAGATAGTTGTGAGCCACTTGAAGTGAGTACTGGAAACTGAACTCGAATCCTTTGGTAAGAACAGACGTTCTCTTAACTGCTGAGCCATCTCTCTAGCCCATACTGTGGTATTTTCACTGCTATTATAAAGCTAATATTTACTGTATATGGCAGAAACAGTTATGAATCCTGTCTGTGGAAATGTTTGAGAATGCATTTAAAGAGTCATTTAACAATAAGGAGACTGCTCTATACTTTGAGAGCAATGTATTTTGCAAACCACTACAATTTTATGTTTTGTGTCATTAATGCAATTGCATACCATTTTCTTCCAGACATTCACCATCTATCTGTGTTTGTTTTACTCAATATCATTCCAATTTTACTTCTTTGCAGGTTTCACTTGTAACCTGATAATTTAGGAGACCAGAAATTGGACAGTATATATTTCCTCAGCTTTTTCAGGCAATTAACTATGTTCTTAAGATAGTAGTATTCACTTACTGATAACAAACAGAATCATTTACCTGGTCTGTACTAAATCCCATTCTTCTTGCAACCTCCCTCTTCAGTTTTCTTTGAGATGCTGATATTTTAATCAAGGTTTTATGCAAATTGTTTCAATTTTTGTAGAAAACACATTTCAGTTACATCAGTGCAACAAATAGGAGTCTGTGATTTATAAACATGCTAATACACACAGTCTGAGGGAGTGACACAGTAGTAAAGCACTTGCCTACCATACGTGTACCATGAGGCCCTTACCAGCATTAGGAGAAAAAGAGACACAATTCAAAGGAAATAAACAGTAATGCCAACAGAACTGTGTAGGAAGTCCCAAAGCCTTGTTCTACTATGTCCTTAGGGGACTTTATATAGTATAATAGTCACCCTGTCTGCTTCACAGGGTTGCCATAGGAGTTATTTATAGCATGCAGATCTTTTATTTTAAAGGGATGCTACATTTCAAATTCATACGCAGAAAGATCATCCTCAATTATCATTCAAAAACTCATTTCAGCAGGAACTTCATATGTAGATGTACTGCTTGAAGTTCAGATCACTAGATGAATAAAATTAAAAAGTACACCATTCATATTCCACAACGAGCTCTGACTATTTTTTGTGCCTCAGAAGGTTCAGATTTGCCAGTGCTTTCTTCATAAGAATAGGTTGTACAGCCTAGAAGCTCCTCCTAATACAAATATTTACTTGCTTACTGAAAACAAAGGGCTGTGATGCCCATAACTCAAGAAAAGGGCAGACAAGCCATATCTACAGAGGAAAAAAATCAACTGGGAAATAGGGTAATTGTGCATGGAATATGATCAGTAGTTTAATCCAGTTCTCAGAGGTGTGTGACATACAAGCATAGAATTGCTTTAAATTGCTTGCGAGGCCTTCCTTCAATTACTCATTCAGATGTCACAAATCAATAGCTGAAATGACTAAGCCTCTAATTTTCCAGAGCCATGTTATCTTGGCATAAAATTGGTAAGGACAGAAAGTGAGAAAGTAGGCAAAGAGGTAGGGGGTGCTTGCCAAAGCTTAGCAACTTAAACTAATTTGTGGATACACATCTGTAGTCAGCTCACAAGTTCAGGGCAGTCTGCTACCAGAGCACCTGTGCATGAGAATGAAGTGGTACCTGCATGTGTCCTCTTTCCCTTCCCTAAATGAAACTGGTCATCTTAGTATCAGAAAAACATCCCCAAAGTAGTTCATACATTAAATGTGTGGGCTTTGTGCATGATCCTAAATCATACAGTGGAGGCACAGTCTCTCTCCTTATTCCTTTAATTGAAAGTGCTGATGAATTGAGACCCAGTAGGTGATGCTATTAAGATTTCAAAAACTATTTTCATTTTCTTTAAGTATTGAACCTTATCATTTCCATCTACATCCTTTCAGAAATGACAAAGTCTCTTATCTACAGAATTCCCTGCGTATTCTTTTGCTTTCAGTGATAGTTGTTATTTGACCAGTCTGAACTGAGTTTGAAACAGAAACCAAATCTTCTATACTTTTTGTTTTGCATTAGAGTGGGAGGAAGGCTGGTGAATTGTATGGATCAAAAAAACATACTATTATCTATTTTTTTTTCTTTTGTTGACACATATTTGTATTTATGAGGCATAATACAATAATTTCAAACGAGTATACAACATGTAATGATTAAACGAGAGTAATTAACATGTCTGTCTTCCTAAATATTTACCATAATATGTGTTGGAAATTTTCTGTCTTTTAGTTATTTTGAAATATATTATAAATTTTTCTAGACAGCAATGACCCGTCTATGCTACAGAACACTAGAACTTTTCTCCTATTTTTCCTCTCATCCTATGATTCTCTCTTCGTTGCACACCACCATGAAAGAAAGACGAAAAGATATATGCAACATAACTGTCCAGAGCTGTGAAAACAGTTTGAAAGAATTTTCAGCATGCTTCCCCCTTGCTTTTTGTTTCTTTGTGTGTGCATGCATGTGCACGTGCGTTCCTGTGTGCGTGTGCGTGTGTGTGTGTGTGCGCGCGCACGTGCATGTGCATTTTCCAGGCAGAAAATAGTCTGAGTCTCTGTCTTCCTCCTTTCCTCCCTCCGTCTGTCTTCCTTGCAGTCTCTTTCTGTTATTCCTCTTTCCTGACTTGAGAATATCACATGTGAAGGAGTTTCAAACATTTATCTATGAGATGCTTGAGGGAACTGATAAATAAAAGCTCGTATCTTTGGCAAATTCTGCGTAGTAAGTTAGCATATAAGCAATGAGAGTCCTAGTTACACTGCAACTTGTCCCTCTGAAGCTTCTGTTTTTAGTAAAACTTCTGCCAGGTTAGTCGTCATTAGTCATTTGTAGAAGGCAGCAGCTGAGAATCGCACAGGTATAGAAACAATGATACAATGCAGTATCAAACAATGCAATGTGAGCCATACATGTAAACCACATGTGTATTTTATACTTTCCCTAGTAGCCACATTAAAAATATAAAGAGAAGAGAGTGAAATTTATGTTAATAGTGTATTTGAATTAACCAAGATTTCAAAAATGCTATTATTTTGACATATAATCCATATAAAATATTGAGATATTTTATGGGATTTTTATATTAAGCCTTCAAGATACAGCATGCATGTTCTACTTACTGCATATCTCAATCAGACTACCCAGATCTGAGTGCACAAGAGCCACACGTGGGTTAGTTACTATATTGGACAGAGCAGAGCTGTCATCTCATGCCTCTTGCCAATATGGATAAGGTCTTTCTACCGCTAATATCACTTTTGTCATGATAGAACACGGAGACAGAGCACTGCATGTTTTACGAGCATTGCAGAATTCCCCAACGGCAGCACAGTATACCAGGACATGCCCTATGGACAAACAGATTCTGTCATTAATTAGTTAGGAATTCTATTCTTTTACCCTCTTGGAGATTACATGGTGTATTAACATTACAGACTGGACAAACTCCTCCGTAAGAATCCCATTTGAAATTGTTCAGAATCTAGAAATTTCTACAAATGTCTTCACATAAAAACTTCGTCTTTTCTTTTTCTCCTCTACTCTTTCTGGAGCCCATCTCTACTTTGTATTCAGAGTTATCTGAAAAGTACGATAGATCTTTTGTATTAGAACAACAGCTTACTAAGTTGAAACTAGAAAATGATCTTACACATATACAGATCATCAGAAGATACAGGGATACCCTCCTATTGTTTCAGAAATTACGAACACACTAAAAAGATGGAGATAGGGAGCAACATCTGAAGGTGTCTATGTATAAACGGAATTCATACACATAGAATATTGCAGTTCTGCTTATATTTTCTTTTTATGTTTGTGTGAAGTATACTTCAATGTGTAATCTTTCATTGCGTCTGAAGTAGCTGTGACTTAATCAATTTTAAGAAGATGTAGACTATACATGTCTACTGTTGTAAATCCTTAGCAGATGATCTTTCTACATGTTTTTAGTGGGGCATTTAATACTGTCCCCATACGTTTTACTATCTGTGTTTAAGTGACAATTATCAGTAAAATAAATTATGCCTCTGAATTTGGTTCATGTTGAATTTAGTGACCCTTATGCGTGGATATATTCAAATAAGCAGATTGGTTTAAATAATCAGTCTTGTCTCTGTTTTTTAGGACTTTAATATTTCAATATTAGAGGTATCTTCTGAAGACAGTAGTAGTAGTAGAATCCTTTTGCTCTTGAAAACACAGTATAACACATATTATGTAGACTCTCCAAGAGTAAGAGTGGAGTATTCGAAATGCAATAGTTTGGTTTTAGAATCTGATAAAGGACAGCCCATTCTATAAGAAGGTAAGAGCTTTCAAAGCTTTGAACATCTGGGAGAGCTCTGCTTAGAAGAGAAATCTGAATTTTAATCTCTTGGATGCCATGACACTAAACTAACAAAATATACAAAATGGATTTTTGAGAATCGAGCTAGTAGGGATACATTTTGCAAAGCTAGATACAACTGGGGATGATTTAACCATCACGTATTAGTTTTGGAATGTGCACTTCCTAAGTGAATAAGATCTACTTCACCAAAAGTATTTTCAATTTTGCACAATTCACAATGCTTGATAGAATTATTGTATCGTTGGATAAAAAAGATCACGCTTCCAATGATATATTTCATAAGCAGAAAATTAGTACAATTCTTTAATCATTTGGGACAGTACAAAAGAGTGAACTGTCATTATAGTACAATGGCTTATTCCTAAGTATAGCTAGGAGTAAACAAGCACTATAGCTTAAAATACTATTGCGTTTTGAAGAACTGCTCAGTGAATTAGTATTATTAACAAAGTTGTGCTCTTTGCAATGTTCCTCCACATAATTACAATTAAAGCATAAAATTATAAAAAATACACCAAATAATAGAAATTAGTTATTATTACTTTAAAATTCCATTAATTTTCATTGACATTAAATTCAACACCACTTATCTATTGTATATAACAAAAATTTTGAAAGACTTGAACATAAAATGAGAGGCTTTTAAAAAATGCCTTTTTGCCAAAACAAGTTATTTGACCTGTTGTTAATTATTATATTTCCTTAGAGGTACTTTGAGGCATTTGAAAGACATATCAGTAGCAATTAGTTCTAAATTAAGAGCAGAACATTCTGCTAGACATTTTACTATATTGGAAAATGTTTTATGATGGTGTTTTATAATAAAACCAAATTATCAAGTATTCTGATATGTCACATTATTATACCAAAACATCACTTTCTATAAGTCTATTACTATGTACATATATTTGTTTTTAATAATGGGAATTTTGGTCCTAGCGAGAAAGTATAATGCAATATATGGCATTGATTTGTAGTAAAAATCCCCACAGCGGACCCAGCAATCTTAAGCTGCAAATGTAACGGTATTCTCACGTATAAACTGGCAGATGATAACTCAGAAAGACATGGTCGCTGGGAGAAGTTTGATGTGCAGACCGTGGCCAAGAAGGATCAAGTTATAAAATGCTCAGCAGACTTAGCCTTTGTTATGGGCTGTTCCTGAAGCTGGAAGGACTACGGACAGTTGAACTTGGTTCAGCTTCACAGAAGTGGTTGGCTCAACATCCACTCCATGGTGTACGAAATATCTTCAGAAGCAAGAGTGAGTCAGAAAGTTAGTGATGCACCTTACTGTTTTTAAACTGCTGTTACAATATCCTGAACACTGTGATCTTTCCAATGTGTTTTCTGTATTAGTTTTGTACTGTAGAAAATAATTTACCGTAAACTGGACTTCATAGTGTTTAAAGTGGTGTTATTTATTGGCTTATTGCCTCCCTGCTCCACAATACGGTCCACTTAACAATGTAAAACCTGTGATAATCCTTTGCCTTAAAATCTAATGCTAAATAATTACTGTGTTCTAATTAATAATTCTAAGCCACTAATTAATTTTCCTTTAGAGGTAACCGTGGTGTCAAATAAAGTATCACACAAATACTCTGTGGAGTGCCTGTGCTGGTTCTGTGTTTGTGACAGTGTGTTTATCTGGATCCAGGACATGGTGGCTACTGGGTTCTATAAATAGGCATTAGTAATCCTTTTGGAGAAAGGGCCTGGTACTTCTCAGTTGTTGGCTGAAATCTCCACTCAACCCTTATAAATAGATTTTCTCATGTCACCACAACAATCAAGTAAAGCAAGCCCATCACATTCTCGCTCTCTGAACTCATTCTTTTATTGCTTGCTTCAGAACCTTCACATTCTGTGCTTATATTAGTTTCCAAAATAGAAAAGTGCCCAAGATGCCTGGAAATTGAAATCACCCAATTTCTTCAGGGAAAATGATCTTACAAAAGTCGAATTCCTGTACGGGCAGGATACAACCTGACTTAGAGATTTACTACCTTGATCAAGGTTTGAGGGACAGCAGTGGGTTGAGTCCATCATCTCCGTGTTCAGAAGGTGATCAAAAAATTCACCCACCGTAAAAGAACTGTGTTATTCTTAGGTTGGCACACTAACACAGTTATGGGGTGGGTTATAAAACTGCTTCCTTATTAGGTAGACCCTTGTCTTTGACCTGTCTTGAGTTAGTCACAGTTATACACGGTTATAGAGGGATATATTTGGTAGGCAGTTTGTTGTTAGGTGTTTTTTTCTTTTTCTTTTTTTTTTTTTTTTTTTTCTGGGAGGGAAAGACTTTGGCTCCTATAACTGCCTTTGATGCCCTTTACCTGTGCTCAGTAGAAAGACTAAGGACATGCTCAAGAGACACTAGACAGTTAAAAGTATTCCCCAACATGTTGTATGCATGACAATTTTGAAAAGTATCTGACTAGTTCTATTTTTGAATGGCAGGAAACGGAGACCTTCTGAAGAATCAGGCGTTTCCTCCACAACACAAAATAAGACAGTAGATCAAAAGTTCAGAGCCCATCCCCCATTCTGGTTCCTGCTGGTTGCAGTTTTTCAAAGGGATGGGAAAGGGTTCCAAAAAAGAAAGTCCACATCAATGAACTCTAGGACCCAGAGGCTTGGGGAGCCGGGAGCTGCTAGGCCTAGAGAGTCAGGTTCGCGACCTGTCTGGACCTACTTGGCCAGCGGAGTGGCGCGCGGTCGGCTGCGCACCGTGCGCGTGGGCGTGTCCCAACGGGCCACGCTGCCCGCCCCACCCCTGCCGAGTCGTCGCCCCCAGGCAGGCTGCAGCGCGCGCTGGGGCCGGTTGGCCCGCGTGCCCTCGGCGGGCTACGCTGCGCGAGCGGGTCGGGCCGGGCATGCTGGGAGCCGCTTGCTCGGGGAACCTCCGCCCCCGGTGTGAGCCGCTGACGCGCGGAGATGAAATTCCCGGCCTCGGTGTTGGCGTCCGTGTTCCTGTTCGTGGCCGAGACGACGGCGGCGCTGTACCTGAGCAGCACCTACCGCTCGGGCGGGGACCGCATGTGGCAGGCGCTGACGCTGCTCTTCTCACTGATGCCCTGCGCTCTGGTGCAGCTCACGCTCGTCTTCGTCCACCGCGATCTCAGCCGTGATCGCCCACTGGTGCTGTTGCTGCACCTGCTCCAGTTCGGGCCCCTGTACAGGTAGGAACGCAACCCGGGAGCCAGTCCTTAGGTCGCAGCCCCTGGCTGCCACCCCTCAACTGCCAGACTCAGGGGAGCGGCCTTCCTTCCTTCCCGGAGAGGACAGGTGACCCCGCCCTGCCCCCAAGCCGCACCATTCCAGTGATTCCCCGCATCATGCGGAAGGTGGGGTGCCTGGGATTTCTGGAACCATCATATGGAATTGCCAGTGTGTACCCCAGTTAGATTAGTAAAAATGGCAGTTTCACCGTTTTCTGGTCTCTTAAAAATGTGTGGCTTTCTCTGTGGTCAAGTGGACTTCCACAGGATTGGCTTATGTGGTCGTGTCATGGCACAAACCTTTGAATATACACTCTTAAGTGTGGTTAGAGCCAAAGCCTTTCCAGGTCATTTCATTTATCGAACACGTGGCATTTAAGTGTGTACCAGCCAGTGTGCTAAGTACTTTGCAAAAATTTATATATCTAATTCTTATATAGAACTCTAGAAATCCACGTACTACACTTTTCTCTTGGTGTGATGAACACTATGTAGTGTGGAAGTAGTCAGAGTAATAGAAACGTCTTCTGAATCTGCCTAACTTTTAATCAACAGTCATGAAGATTGGTACACAGTGTACCACGAAGACAAAAAAGTGTGTTGTATTAAGAAAAAATGTCAATGATATTTCTGGGGAAATATTGCATTGTGTTAAGAAAAACAGTTAATGATGTTTCCAGAAGTTGTTGTTGTTGTTTCTGATGCTGAGGATGCAATGCAGGGCCTGGCACATACTGGGCAAATGCTCTACCACTGACCTATATACCCAACCCTGGAAATTAATCCTTATGTACACAGAGCAAGTAAAAATATACAGCCATGAAATTGACGTTGACTTTAAGGACCTTGAAGGTAATTTAAACTGTGTTGATTTCATATCTTTTATCTTAACATAGGAAAGATGTCTATTCAGATTAAAATATATATTTACAATATTGAATTTTAACATAGATAACAGGGAATTTTCAGGGAAGACCAGAGACACATCTCATGCAGGTGCTTGAAATTTTAGCTATCATGTAGTCAATTCTCTCTCTCTCTCTCTCTCTCTCTCTCTCTCTCTCTCTCTTCTCCCCCCCCACAGTCCAGTAGCAAGATGGATTTTGCAAGGCTTTAATATAAGACTTTTGCATGTCATATTAAATACAGCCTTTTCAAGTGACAAAATACCAATCTGCAATTTAACACAGTCATGGTAGACTTGGTAAACAAGTTTCTCATTCTTCAAGAGCTAGGGAATTCTAGAAAAAAGCTTGAAACACCCTGACAGAAGTGAGAGTTTGTTGCTAATGGCCTAATGGCCAGGGAGGAATCAGAAAAGAAAGCTAGAAAGGGCAATTGACAAAGTCCTGCATCCAATTAGCTAAGAGAGAGCTCTTTTTCTTAAGCTAGCCCTGTGATCCCCATAGTGTCGCTGCTCAGAAAAATAAGTGAGAGTTGATTTTGGGAAAGGTGCTCAGCATTAACCCCCATCTGTGTGAAGGAAACTCAAGTTTGGGTGGCGTGACATGGGGACTGACAGTTCTCAAGAGCTGCTTGTGCTAAATGCTTTCGTTTGTACCTATATGCCTCAGTTGACTGATGCTTTACCATGAAGTAGGTGTTGCTTTACCATGAAGTAGGTGTTATTGTGCTCACAGTTTCTGTTTGTTCATTTATTTTCATGTTGGATGTTGAGCCCAGGGCCTCATGCACACCTTACCATTTCTCTGCCACTGTGATAGACTCCCTCACCCCTGGTCCCTATTTTTTTGATGGGCAAATGAGTCTCCAGAACATATTGCCAAGGCTTCATTCAAAAATGGAATTAGGTTCTTTATGGTCTCCATGGTCTGTGAAAGCAAGCAGTGGTGTATGTAGTACATTTCACCAGTACTTCCATCTTAAGTTTTTAAGTTTAGTTATCTGAGCAAAATTTTAAAAACCTGAATAACCATCCAAGTAAGTTCCCTATCGTTGCTATCATTTAAAATGTCTGTAAACTTTAAGAATAGCTGAAGACAAAGATAATGGCACAACACTACACATAACAACAGCCTGGCAAACAAAAACCAGAATTCAAGGAAATATGCTAAAATGATAAGAACAATAATTACTGCATGGTAGAGTGTCAGTTTAGTATTTTCTTTCTAAGTAGGAATGTATACAATTTTCTCTTTTATTATAAACTTTTCTTTATTTTTCAGTAAAATATTTTAAATTTATTAAGGAAAGGGAAAAATAGAAAGTTTCAACATTAGAAAAATAGACCTATTTCCTATAATTTCAGAATAGGTTCTTGTCTTAGGGGAAAATAAAATAAATACTAAGACTGTCAAGGAGTGTGTCATTCTAATACAGCTGATTTATGTCGAGGAGTTGTTGGACCCATGATCTCGGAGATGAAATGCACAAAATGTGGTTCTAAGTCTCTCACCTTCCAAACAAATGGGAAAACAATTTGATGTCATGTATTAACCTGCCAAAATCTTACCAGAATTTCTTCCTACTGACTGGTTTGAACTCTAAGATATCAGCTTTACATAAAAATCAAATTGTTTCCCCAAACAAAAGAATCATAGCGTCTTTCCCTTGCACACCTTACTAAGGAGTTTAGTAATTTTTAAAGTTATTTTAGGACAGTGTACCTCTAAATTTGGGTGCGTAGTAGCCAACCACCCTTTTTAGGAAGATGCTGTTTTTGAGTTTATACAATATGATGGCCTAGTCAAATTGATACACAGTGCTCAGTATATAGCTCATTGTGTATCATGTTTGCCTAAAATACATGAGGCCATGAGGCACAGTACAGCAAGACGGGAAGCCAGCAATATGTTAAACTAATGATCATGGGCTAAAGGCTGAGTTCTACCCTTTCTTTCCTTCAGGAAGGCATTGGTAGAGCACATTATTGCATTTATATATTATTTTAGTCTTATATTTAAATGTGTAGCTACAGTTTCTATAGTTGTTTCTACATTAAGCCTGAATTTGAATGTGAACTTTGGATAATGCCTTCAATTTTTTTTAATTTTATGGAAAATCTTACTGTAATTTATAGTAGATAGTTTTGAAAAACAGAAGGGAGAGTATCTTTTACCCTCCCCCAAATAATGAAATTTTCTATCTATTGCTCTTACAGTTATGTTAATTTTCATGAATTAATTAAGAGGAGTGAACATAAATGAGTGATAAGTTCAAGAGATTTGACCATTTTATTACTAGAGTAATTTAAAGGACAAAATTATAGATGAAAAAATCTAGGTTTACATAGTTGGACCTTGTCACAAACCTAAAATAAAACACAAACAAGAGAGGAAAAAAAATCTAGATTTCTAAGAAACAAGCTAAAAAGTTCCAGAAATCATTATAAAACACTGCAAAATAATTCACCATAGTGTTCCTCTATAGCAAACTTTCAAAAGAATTTAAAATAATAGTCTATATTTACAAAATATTTCTTTCCTTTGCCAAGTACATTTACATACAACATTTAATTTCTTCTTTATTAAAACCGTATGAGCTGTCTTTATCTAAATTCTACAGTCCTGGAATTGCAGCTCAGAGAGATTAAGCAAGTGGCTCATCAAAGGTTTCCCAATGTTTTCTGTTTAACCAGCTTAGTTCTAGTGTAGCCCTTCAGAGCATGTGTGCCATGTGAAGATAACGTGGCTTATAAGAAATCATAGTATATCTTTGGAAAAAGTATTTTCATTAGGGTCCTTGATACCTCAGGTTATTTGTAATGGCATCAACATGCCTGGTTTCACATAAGGAACAAACTCCTATGCTTGACAAATGAGGTATATGATGCTTGAAAATGGGACTAAGTGAAAAAATGGATCAAATTACTAATTACCTACATCAGAGGTCATCAGGGGTCTGCAAACTATGCCACATTTGCCAAATCACTGCATCACCTGTTTTTGTAAATAAAGTTTTATTGGAACACAACCTTTATTGGAACATTCCTTTATAGACTGTATTTCTTTCAGCAACACAGAGGCAGAAGTTTTCCTGACCCATAATGTACATGATACTGAAAACTGCCTTGAATAATTTTTGAGGGGGATGCTGGTGCTACATTTTTAGTCCTTACCTGGAATGACTTTTATTTAAGTATCTCATGTAGACAAACAACAGTGAAACAAACTCCCTAAACAGAATTGGAGTAGTTACGGTAAGTCTTTAAAAAATTATTATTTGAGTCAGGCATGGTGGCCTACACCTTTAATCTTAGTACTTGGGAGGCAGAAACAGGCAGATCTCTGTGAGATTGAGGCCATTCTGGTCTCCATATTGAGTTCCAGACAAGCTGGGGCTATAGGGAGACCCTGTCTCAAAAAATTATTTATTTTTATTTTATGTGTATGAGTGTTTTAGCTGCATGTGTCTCAAGTGCACCTGTGAGTGCAATGCCAGTGGAGGTCAGAAGACAGCATTAGATCCCCTGGAACTGGAAAGTTACAAATGGCTGTTAGCTACCATGTGAGTGTTGAAAACAGAACCCTGGTCCTGTAGAAGACCAGTCAGTACCCTTAAACGTTCAGCCATCTATATAGCCCGTAAGCAGATGTTTTGGCAGAATTTCAAGAAAATGTAGTAGTTTGTTTCTTACTTTCCTTAAGCAGTAATGGCTAGTGGTCTTGTAATAGATTTATTACATATAAAGCTGTGTTAAGATATACTAGGCCCGATGGCACACATCTTTAATGACAGCTTTTGGGAGGCAGAGGCAGGTGGATATCTGAGTTCAAGACCAGCCTGGTCTACATAGCAAGTTCCAGGCCAGCCAGAGCTACATATTGGGACCCTGTCTCAACAGAGAAAACAAACAAACAAAAAAAAGACAAATGCATGACCTGGGTAAAACAGCCAATTGTGAGAGGTTCCTCCTATCCTTCAGAGCCACCTGTGCCATCAGTTTATTCTGGGAACTTCTTTCATTTCTATTGATTGATTACTGAAGTTTCATTCAACAATTGTATAAATGATTCCTGTTTCACAGAGTCCCTTCAGCATCAAGAGAATTGCATTCTTCGCCAAACCTTATTCCATCCATTCACCTTTTATCATGCTCTGCTGTTTCATTTGCTTGTTTAGTTTGACCTTTAAAAGCGCTAAGCTTGATTTTTCTATTGTAAATAAAGCTGATTTGTTGAAATGACAGAAAAAAGAAAATACATACTCAGAATGAAGAAAATAATACTTTTAATTCGACTGTTAAAGAGAATAATTCTTAATGCTTTTGTTGTTTATCCTTACTAATATGTATGTGGAAATATGCTTGCAAACTCTCTCTCTCTCTCAGGGAAAATGAACCCTGATTTCAAGGTTTTGCTTATTTCCTTAATGAATTTGTCACCATCAAGACTGATCAAGGTACTACCTGTTTAACAACTGGTTTACAAAATTCCTGTTCAACATTTGGCTCTTTTGAGTCACTATAAGCCAGCTCAATCATTTCACTATTAATGTGAATGTAGTTGTGTGTGTGTGTGTGTGTGTGTGTGTGTGTGTGTGCTTTACCCAAAGTGAGTTTTTCTCTTATAAGTTACTTCTTTTACTTACTGAATATAACAAAATATTTTTATTTTAATTATTTATTAATTGAATGTGGTAAGGATCAAGTCCAAACTAAAAGTGAAACATAAATACTGTTTTTGTTACGTATTACAGTTACATATTCTGTATATATTCTGTATATACCCCAAACTAAGGACAGAGCACCTCTGAATGAAGGGTTAACAGCTGTCTTAGTAAAGTACATCTGTACTCATTACCTGTTTGGGAATAAAGACAATGAACACTTATTCCTTCTTCTAAGCCTGATTGTTTTCAATGGTATAACAGTGTGAAGGGGCTAGGTCAAATTCAGTCCTTGCTCATAGATTTGAGTTTTGGATAAGATGGGCTTGAACTGAGAAACTTGACTGGAATAGCATTTTATTTTTCTGAACAAACTAGTCTATGTTATTTTCTACATTTTCATGTAATGTATTAAAACATCCTTTATTGCATTGGTTAAAAGGTAGAATATGCTTTCTCTCTCTCTCTCTCTCTCTCTCTCTCACTCTCACTCTCACTCTCACTGTTCTCACTCTCTTGCTATTTCTTCTCACATACCCAACTAAATACACACCTTATTATTTCAGATTATACATGTACTCAAATTGTCATAGATGCCTCCAGGTGAGATTATTAATTTAACATTCAGTAAAGCATATAAAGCCATAAAAATCTAGCAGCATCATAAGGTTGTTGTGAAAGTGCCTATTTCAAGACTTGAAGCCTTTCAATGTTCAAACCCAAGACCTTGAACATTTTTCTTGCTCTCAGGGAAAACTCATTTCCCCCCAGCAATTCTTTATGAATATTTTCACATATATAGAAGAAAACCCTAAAGAATTATACACCCAGGTACCCCACCCAGACTCAACAATTAACATGTTGTTTCAATGTGTCTGTCCATCTCTCCATACGTATGTGAGCATACTTGAAAGTAAATTATAGGCATCAGTACTTTTCTTTCGTTTAGCATCTTAACTATTGCCTAGAGAAAAAAAACTTAAGTTACTAATTCAGATTCTGTCCCTATGGCAGGCTTGGAATGCCTTAAGATACCTGGCAACCCCTGGATGTATTTGAATTTAGCTCTGGCCTATAAGGGCTTATGAGGCCAAAGAGATCTATAATATGTTGTGGTCTTCCAGTGAAATCTAGATGGAAAGTTGCCCTGTGCTGTTCACTTGCTCAGCTATCTTCCCTCTATCCCTCCCTCCCTCTCTCTTTCTTTTTATACAGTCTGACTGTAGCCCAGGCTCATCTGGAACTTACTCTGTAACCTAGACTGGTCTTGAACTCTTATCAGTCCTCTTTCCTCACCCTTTGATTACAGGGGTGAGCCACCATGCTCAGCCTTATAACTTCTTCTACCTATGATGGTTTGTGGCATCCATTGTGTGTGGAACATTTTGTTTTTGTCCTTGTTCACAGAAGCATGATAAAGTATCTCTTTTCTCTGTTTTATGAGGGGAAAAATTCAGAATATAAGTGATTTATACAAGGCTGCACAGCTGATATGTGTCAGGAAGGGAAACAGAACATTTTTCTGTTGACTCTAGAGTCTGAACCACTTCCAATTCTCCAATATCTTTCCTTGCCTCAGCAGCATTCAGTGTCATCTCTGTTAGATTCACACTCAGTTCCTAGTAGTCTGCTGGAGGTCTTGAAGAAGATTGACTCCTTAGAACTTGTCCTTGGAATGAATGATGTAGAGGGATCAGTAATAACCAGGCAAGGGTTTGAGACTTAGGTTAAGTGGAAGCGGGATGACTGAGAAAAGACAGAATTCTGACACCTCTAATTACTATGATTCATTAATTTGTTTCTAGGTGTTTTGAAGTCTTCTGCCTCTACTGTCAGTCCAACCATACTGAAGAGCCTTATGTAAGCATCACTAAGAAACGGCAGATGCCAAAAGATGGCCTCTCAGAGGAGATTGAGAAGGAGGTGGGTCAGGCAGAGGGGAAGCTGTGTACTCATCGTTCTGCATTCAGTCGGGCATCAGTGATCCAGGCTTTCCTAGGCTCTGCCCCACAACTCACCCTGCAGCTGTATATAAGCGTCGTACAGCAGAGAGTCACTGTTGGAAGAGGTATGTATGCGTATATATTTTCATGTCTGTACATTTGGGGTTCAAAATGAGAAGCAAATGTTTTTGTTCATGTGAAATTTATTTGGATGTTCATTCATTCTGGATTTGTGTTCTATTTTTTAAGCTAAGAACTTAGTGAGTAAAAATGACACCTTTTTTTTTTTTTTTTTTTTTTTTTTTGCTTATGAATCTGCATTTTGACCAAGGTTCAAAAAGGAAAGCTCACTTATGCTCTCCTTTGTATTGAGTGAAATGAGTTAAAGATATGGTGGCTAGAATTCATTGAAGACTCATTCACTCACATGTTTTGATGCTAACTGTTCTCAGAGGCTTTCTTTTCCATTTCATCTCTCAATGAGAGAATCTGGACTTCCTCACAGCATGGTGATGGCTTCCAAGTGTGAATTGCACCATCTTTTGTGACCCTGCCTCAGGAGTCATGGGAGCTAGCTGCATGACCACTAGAGAGTTGTTCTCTTTTCTCTCCTTTTTATAAAATGTCGTGTAGCTAGATATGGTGGTGCAAACCTTTAATCCCAGTACTCAGGAGGTAGAGACAGTGGATCTCTGTGAGCTCAAAGCCAGCCTGCTCTGCATAGCAAGTTCCAGGCCAGCCAGGGCTACATAATGAAACCCTGTCTTGAAAAACCAAAACAAATATAGTCTAATTTGTAGAAAAAATCAGTTTCAGTATATTTCCAGTGTTGTGCTAAGATCACCATTATCTAGGATTTTAGAACATTTTCATTATGTAAAAAGGAAGCCCCCATATTGGCAGTTATTCCTCATTTTTCTTGCTTCTGTCCCCTGGCAACAACTCTTTCTGTCTCTATGGATTTGTTTATTTCATATTAATGAAATTATATACTATTGGAAAGTTTTCTTACAGTTGATGAATGATGGACCTTGTCCCTATGGACTTCCATCTTGGATAAGATAGTCATCCTGAGACTCCTTGTGTTTAATCATTTCTCAGCAGGAATATGGTCACATCACTGAGATCTTGGAGTGTGTTGGGCTTAAGCCCAGGTGAGAATTCCAGATTCTTCTGGTCATGGATGGTCTGGGCACCTTGCCATTTGCCCTCCCAATCTTTAGAGTCCCTTTCTCTATTCTACTATAGATGGTAATGCTGGTAGTAATAATGGATTTTCCATAAACACTTACTTTGTGCTAGGCACTATGACTGATATCATAACGTTTCTTTTTCATAGTGTCCCTGTGAAGTAGATAATAATCTCTTCACCTTACCAAATAGGGAAATTGTATCCATAATCTACCAGAGGAACAATGACTTAAGGTTAGATTTGTGTGATTTCATTTATGGATGCAATGAGGATAGATTAAGGAGCGTCTCTATTTCAGGCTGTATGCTGGTCTCCTAGGATAAAGTGGTAAATAAAGTGGAGAGGCCCCTGTCAAGTTAGATGATAAAGACAGGCATGAAATACAGAATTAATCCCATATTTATTTTACTTCAGGTAAATCCTGCAAAATGACAGCTTAAAGAGCCTGTGTGAGTGGATATTGGAAGAATATAATCAAGTCTGGGAGATGAGGCAAAGCTTTCTAGAACATATAATTATGTTGAAAATTGGCACATGGGGTAGAGAAGATAGATGAAGGAAAAGCCAGATAGAGCATCTTAGGATTTCAAGCTTTATCCCAGATGCAGTGGGAAACCACTGATAAGTTTTGAACAGCACAGTGTCATAAGCAGATTTCATTTTAGAAACCGACCGCTCTGGAAAATGGATTAGAGGCAATAAGGGAAAAATAGGGAGGACAGAAAGTAGGTTGCTGCAGAAAGTAGTTGCTGGGTGACAGTGATAATGGCTTGGACTGCAATAGTCAGAATGGATTGTTGGGGCAGTACTAAGAACGTGGAAAAGAAATGACCATGATGATTAGTTAGATAGGAAGGTGAGGCAAGGGAGATGTCAAGAGTGTCCCCAAATCTCTGACGTGAACAGTACTAGCCATGGTATCCTGTTTTTATTGCTGGAAATCTCTGGAGGAGGAGAAGGCTTCTGTGGTATGCTTTTTATTTCAGATTTAGACTCTTTTACACAAAGAACATATTTAAAGATTCCATTTAGATCATGAGAGAAGAAGCAGATGTTAAATCTAGCTCAAAGGAGAATGCAAAGAACACACATGGGAATATCAACAAGAACTATCAGGACAAGTCTGTAAATAGAGGTAAAAGTGTTTCCATTGCATGTTGGGATGTGCAACCAGGGATATAGCTCAGTGGTAGAGTGTTTGCCTAGCATGTATGAGGCCTTCAGTTCAATTCCCTGTACACAAACAAAACAAGACAAAACAAAAGACAAAGGGAAAAAACACAAAAGGGGCTAGGGATGTATTATCGCTTGTTTGGTAGAGTGTAAACCTAGAATGTATGAAGCCTGGGTTCAATTCCAGTGTGGTGGACACTTGTAATCCAGCTCTTGGGGACTAAAAACAAGATGATCAGAAATTTAAAGTTGTCTTTGGCTACATAGTAAGTTCAAGACCATCCTGGGAAACATGACACCCTGACTCAAAAAAAGGAGGTGCTGGGATATAGCTTAGTTGCTAGACTGCTTTCCCAGCATACATGAAGCACTGGGTTTGATCCCCAGAACTAGTTCTGCATGAATCAGGATAGTGGTACATACTTGTAACCCCAGCATTTTGGAGGTAGAGGCAGGACTAACAAAGATTCAAGGTCATCTTTGGTTATGTAGTGAGTTTGAGGCCAGACCTGTCCATCAGAGCTTGACTCAAAAACAAAATGAAAAAACAAAACAGAAAAGTAGGGTGACAACATGAAGGGGTGGACAGCTGAACCTCTAGGAACCTCTTTTGTCTGAAATAATAGAGCATTATCTATAAATGACTACAACCTCTAAAGGCATATAAGAGTTCACAGGCAAAGCAGTACTAGAACCAGAGAACCTGGAGTACTGTCAGGAAGAAAGGGCAATACGCTCATTGAAGTGCACTTTTGTTTATGCTGAAATATTAAGGACAATAGAAAGCTAGTTCTCAAAAATATCCAGTTATTAGGGTCACAAGTTGAAGTCACAGTTTCCAGACCAGGCCCCATTGGGGTTCACTGAAGACTGATAACATTCCAAATTCTTAGTACTCACAATAGCAGTTAACCAGTGAGGAACTGGTACATAGGGATGCAGTAGTGGAAGTGAACACTGGACTCTTCAGCAGCCCAAGCCAGTGGGAGAACTGATGAGAGCTGATGGAGCAAAACCCCGTAAGATGAGGTCAGAAGGAAAAGGAGCTATAGGAAGGAAATTCTCTTATGCTCTATAAAAGCCAAGCTGCTGTCCCTTATCAGCTTTATGGTCCTCCTCCAGCAAGACAGTCACTATGCAAGTGCCTGAGCTTTCCACATCTCTGTTCCTCATTGATGTGCCTGAGTTCCTGAATACCAGCATCCCCAAACTGGCTGGCAAAGAGGGACACAGCAATTTCAGGTTATATATAGCTCCAGAGCACATATGCAGGGAGGTAGAAAACGACACAGCCCTGTTATCTCTTTTTATATCAAGCTAGATCTCTGATGGGTAAGATGCCTCAACCAAAGAAGTGGCGATGTCTGTGTCGAACATGGTTGTAGAATTACTTCAGTAGCCTTTCCTGGCCTCTGAAATCTCCCAAGATGAGGGAAGCTCATCAGCTCGTCTAAGCCAGTGTCAGTGGCTATGACACCTCTCAGTCCATCATTTTGTGTTGGATATGTCTGTGTGAGCCCTAGAATGTATTCCACAGAGGAATGAAAGCATGAAGGCTATAATCAGTATGGGACATTTGAATCAGTACACTCCATGAAGTAGTTTCCAGTAGGCATGGTGAGGGCAGTGCCCATGGTGGGCTAATGATAGTTTTACAGCACCATGAATAGACACCAAATTGTATACCTAATTGTTAGAATGGTAGATTTTATGGTCTGTGAACTTTGTTACAGAAAATAAAACAAAACCAGAAAATTCTCAACCGTGGTTGTCAACAATGGAGAATAAATTATCAGCTGTAAAGGAATCCGAACAAAACTGCAACATTAAGCTAGAAATCAGGGGGAAATAATTAGTTGAAAACAGAGTCAGAAAGAATATGATCAGGGCTGGTGAGATGGTTTAGCTCCTAATAGCCCTTGTTTCCAAGACTAATGATCTGAGTTCAACCCCAGAACCCACATAGTGGAAGGAGAGAATCAACTCCTGCAAGTTGTCCTCTGAATTACATATGCATGCCATGGCATGCCTGATCTTCTAATAAATAAACGCAAAAAATAAAAAAGACTATGATCAAAGTACATTTCATATATATATATATATATATACATATATATAATGAAATCCCTTAATTTAGAAAATTAATATATAC